GCTTTAAAGGTGATGACCAACACCTTGAATTGGACCCGGAAACAAACTGGTAACCAATGCATCTCGCACAACAGCAGTGTTATATGTGCCCTCCTAGGGGCATTAAGAACTGATGTGTTTAAGTTTATGTGTTCTTCTCCTTTAATTGAAATCTTTAATTCCTTCTAGTGTCCAATTTTTAAAATCTTATTATTTTTTTTAAAAAATATTCAAAACAAAAGCATTTTCCTATGGGAATGATTCTTCATAATTAATTCCAAAATCTTATTTTAATTTTATCTGGACTGTTTGTAGCTTTCTAAAATCAACATTTTAATCAACCTTTTGCTGTTTATTTAAAAAAAAAATTAAGTTCTTAAGCTTGTAGTTAAAACCTAATTTTGTTAAGGATTGAAGGCAAACTCACCCAGTGCTTTCAAACTTGTCAATCCAAAGGTTTCTAATAGCTGAAAAGTAGTTTCTGAAAGTGATTAGAAAAGGAAGTATGCAAACCCAGTGTCCTTTCAAAGGCACTGACTGTGGTTTGAGCAAGATGGCTATTCCCTCATCTCCCAGTGCTCAAAACCATCCAGACTGCTGTCTTGCGGTCTCCTCACGAGGAGCAACTGTTTGAAGTGCTTGTGGGCAATCTTTCCTCCTCCTCTTTGTCCAAAGAGCGGATCTGTTCACCAGCTCTTCACTCTTCACTGCGGTCATCGGCTCTGCTTTTCACTGAGCCATCTTCAGTCTGCCATTCTTCCTCTGGAAGTCAGGGGCATGTTATTCCAAAGGGCAGGCACTGAAACAGTAAGTTGTGGGGCTCTAGTTTATTTACACATTGAAAACATGCAAGTTTTTTCTCTGAATTCAGTTAGATTCGAACTACAGTCTTCTGGCGTCTGGATGCCATCCAGGAGGTCATACAACTATTTGGATTTCCTCCTCTGAGGTTGGAGATAGGATTCCAATTCAGAGAGGAAACAGACTACTAGATCTCCTTTTTCATCTACCCAGCAGGCTTCATAGCTAGTTCTTTTCTTGAATCCTGATCATGGTGGGAACTGGGCAAAGATAGTTATAGGAGTTTTGCATCCAAAGGCTTTTATCAGCCCTCTGCCTTGCTTGAAATAGTAGGAAGTTTATATCATCTGTAAAACAGATATAAGTGTTTTTTTCCCCCCTTTGTTAGCAATAGATGAGATTTTTGTAAAAACCAAAAAAATCTGGCAGCGAACAGAGCCCAGAGAATCCCAGAAGGCTCAGATATTGGATACTTAACAGGTAATGCCTAGGGGTGCTAGTTACTGTCTGATGATTGTTATTTAGTATGTGCTCAAGGGGATTCTGTTTTTATTATCATTACTTTATATATTCCACAGAGGCCTTGAAAATAACTGTATCTGGATATTAGGCCTGACTCAGATAAGCTTGTTGCTTGATTTGTGTTAATATCATCTTTGTGCATGTGGCTTCTTCAGGAATTACAACAGTCCTGACCATGTCTACGATCATTACTGGTGTCAATGCCTCCATGCCTGGCGTTTCCTACATCAAGGCTGTGGACATTTACCTCTGGGTCAGTTTTGTGTTTGTCTTCCTCTCGGTCATTGAATACGCAGCTGTGAACTACCTGACCACAGTGCAAGAGCGGAAGCAGCGGAAACAGCAAGAGAAGGTGAGAAATATTTCCCATGTGCCTGGATTGATGACTCTATTAGAACAGCCTTCTTCAACTCAGCTGGCCCAGTTGAGGAAGTCCATATTAGAAATTTCTGATGTACATTCAGGTAATCCTTTCTTAACGACCACAATTGGGACCGGCAACTCCATTGCTAAGTGACACAGTAGTTAAGCAAGACATCACATGACCACAACGGACTTCCAACCTCACTTCCACCATGGTTATTAAGCAGATCACTCACAGTTGTTAAGAACTATGTCAAGTGACTGCAGCTTGCGATTTTACTACTCCATTGACCGGTTGTTGAAAGTCGGCTGTGAAGTGCACAAATGGTAATCACATGTCTGCGGGACACTGCAATGGTCAAATGCCTGCCAGTTGCAAAGTGCCGGAATCTCGATCATGTGACCACAGGGACGCCGCAAGGACCCATCGTAAAGTTACTTTTTCAGCACCATTGTAATTTCAGATGGTCGCTAAACAGGGCAATTGTTAAGCAAGTGCATATGTGAATCATTTTTGTCTAAAGCATTTGACTTGAGACTACAAAAGTAGGAATTTGATGACAATAGGAGTGATGGAGCCAAATAAAACTCCTAAGGTCAGAACTGGGTTAAGTCTGGGTCTTTAGCAGAAACAGTGTAGGGAAAATAAGAATGGGGAAATTCAGTATGGTATTTCCCTGTATTTACTCCATTTGTTTGCAGTCACTGCTGATGGATGGCTAGGAAGCTGTGACTAGTCTGGCAACAGGAAAAAAAGGCAAATCAGTTTCCCTGGACAGAGTGTACCTATGCAAGATGCTTGATGGCATCTGTAAGAGATGTCTGTATGATATGATATCAGTGCTGTTGATGTTATTGTTTTGAGTTGCATAATCACCTATACAAACCAAGGTTATTTATATTTAAAATATTTTTTTCCTTAATGTATGACTATTTTCCCCAACAAAACAGCAGTTTTAGTTGTCCAAGGAGTTGCAGACTAAAGCACGTGAGAATCCCATGGTAGGTAAAAGATCTCAGTGGGTGTATTTGTGGGACGTGCTTACCAATAATAATTGAACCCTTGGTTATTCAGCTAGCCCAGGTTTTTTAGTTTTGCACAATAAACACTGAATATAAAATAACCACATGGGTTACATTTATACAACACATTGGTCTAAAAAGATGGTCAGCTAATTTGAGGCTTAACATGTTACACAGAAGCAGTTTATATTAAAATTCTTGAATTTAGAAAGGCTCATTAGGTAGCAGCCTCCATAATGTAGTGATTTCAGATGTCTTCAACTCCGGCCAGAAGATTTGTATAAACAGGTTACAAATTATTGTTAATAATTTGTATGTAAGATGTATAAAGCTTACAAAAACAGCATCAGCACCTTCAGCTGTGCTCAGAAATGTATGTCAAGATAAGTAAAGTTGTTTCAGTACTGGCAAAATATATTCTCTCAAATGCAAGTTAGTTAGCAGTCAAACTACAGCATTCTGGATCAAGAGAGATCTTTAAGGGCAGTCCAGTGTACAACAGATCATAGTAAGCCTGTATGTTAGATATTACTTGAATGTGGACAAACATCATCTGATCAAAATTACAGTACCTGTGTATATAAACTAAGGGCAAGTCCAACAATACTCTCAAGCTTCAAACCTGATTCTCAAGAGGAAAAACAACCCCACCAAGGCTGAATTTTATCATGCAGTCCAGATTATCTAATGATAATCTACCATTAGAACTGCTTTCAGGTGGAAGTCTACAAAATGAAGCATGTATGGGACTTTGAGCTGATGAAGCCATTTTTATCACTTCATTGAACAGATAAATATGATACCTAGAAATATGAATGTTTGTCCCTATCATTCAAAGTTTTCTCCATTCTGTTTCCAAAACATACCATCAATATTATCTCAATTTTTTTTCATATCATATTATAACATGTACAGTATATTATGCTTTTCCTCCAAGCAATTGTAACCCAAAGGCAAATCCAAATTTCTTATGGAATTCAGGATTAATTCTTATTGTACTTAATGCAACCATCACTTTTCATTTTACTTTCAGCTTTCTGCTTCACACTGATAGCATTTCATATACAATATGATGGTAAGCCCATAGATTGTGATTCTGTCTCGGTAATAATTTTGAAAAACTAAAGATCATGAGTTATAGTCAGGGTTATCTTTCTGTTAAGTAGAAAAGCATGGTCTGCTGGTTGTAAGAGTTTAACAGAATACTCCTGAGTAGAAGAAGGATGTAGGGTAACCATTTTTGCCATTTCCCCTTTTCCGTTATTCTCTTACAAACCAATCCACAAACCTTCAGAGAAGACTTGGGAGGGCCATACAGGCTGCAGACAGAAGAAGAGCCAATGGAAACATAATTCACCATTGCAATTGATGAATTCCATTTGGTGGAATATTGGATTCAACCAAAGTTTAAAAGAATTTGCAAATACAATGTTAACCAAAATTTCACATGAAATTACAGTGCAAACTTCATCTTCCGTTTGGTTCATTTTGTGCTTACATTTTTCTTCTCCTTTATTGTTCTATTTCCTCAGTTTCCATGTGTGAGTGGAATATCTTCTACAAAAAGAATGACCCTAGATGGTATATACAATGAGTTGGATGCCAGTAGCCTAGAAGGAGACCCAAGAAGTCAAATGGTAGCTGAGGAGGATAAACAAGAGAAGATGGTGATCCATCTGACTATGAGTAATGAGTCCAATTCATCAAAGAAGAAAGGGCTCAAAGAGCATGTTAGCCTACGTATTATCCAGAACACTCATGCAATTGACAAATATTCAAGGTTAATATTCCCAGGCACCTATATATTTTTTAACATAGTATACTGGTCTGTCTTCTGCTGAACATGCTGTGGTTGTGGTTGACTCAGGAGATATTTAGAAGATTCCACTATTAAAATTTTGGAGTCCAAGCGAGAAAATGATTCATGCTGTAGCAGCTTTGGCATATGAAAACACTGGATATTTTTCTAAGAAGCATTTGACACAGTGGTGTTGGAGATGGTTGACTCAAGCTGGATACTTTCTGCTCCCTGTCACCTTCTTAATGTATGATAAGTTTGTTTTTCATACTTGAAAACATGCAGCTGTTGAACTTGAGTCTCAGGCATTGCAGTGTCATCATAGCATAAAATTTGCCAAAGAAACACTTATAAAAGTGGCTAGGAATCTGCTACGTGATCTTTATTGAGACAGTTGAAGTAAGAGACATCTGTTCCATTTATCAGCCAGCATGGTGATGTAGGCCATCTTTATTATAAGGGATTGTTGGCACCCATATGAAATTTCTTTTGTAAGAAGCAGAAACTCTGAATTGGTCCCCAAACTAGACAGACAGGTTAGAATGCATCAAGGGATGCATGTGAGGGTCCTGGAAAAGGCTGCTTTTATCAGGATTGTGCTCTTACAATTCTGTAAAAATACACTGGGGAAGATAATGGAAATGTTCTCATCAAACTGAGCAGTTGATAAGTAAAAAGAAATACAAAGAAAAGACATGCTTAAGTATTAAATATACTTCTAAAGGATGCCCTCAGAAGTGAGTTCTTTGCATTATCATAGACATCTCTCTTCACCTAGGGCTATGCAGTCCAGTTGCATTTACTGGTCCTTATAAGTGTTCTGAATCAAACACAGGCCTCATTTAGTGACTGTCTCATTTAGTGACCATTTGCAATTACCACAGTGACAAAAAAGTAACTGACCAATCCTCACATTTATGACTTTCACAGGTCTGTAAAGCAAAGGAAAGCTGAAGTAAAATCGTAAGCCCAGTTGCGGTTTCACTTAGCGACCACTTCGCTTAACTACCATGTTGCCAGTCCCAATTGTGGTCATTAATGAGGACTACCTGTATGTTGAAAGCCTCTGGTGTTCCCTAATCTCTTTCAGTGATACTGAAGGAACCACTAGGCTTGGGTTTCTGGAAGTAGCACAGAGCTAGCCCAAAACATTTTGCTGCTGAAAGGAAGCATACATTGGAGTATCCCCTCTATTCCACGTACAGAAATTGAGGGAACTGGGGGTTGTATCATACCCCATGCCTCCTACCCTTTATCTTAGAGCAGATGACATCTGGGACCCACTGGAGTGAGTTTTTATTCTTGCTCTTCACAAATTCATCTATAAAGAAGCATAGTTACTTACTCTTTATAATCCTCTTTATAATCTGTTTCCTTTGTACATAGAATATATATTGTTTTATAAATATTTTTAATTATTTAGTTGACAAAATGCTAGTGTCCTTTTTGAGGGTAGGACAACTAAGCATTTCAGATAGTTTCTTTTGACAGTAATATAAAACTACACTTTGAGGCTGCAACACTCATGTTTTACTTATTCGGATCAACAAACAATAGAAAAATGAATCTGAAGCTCAATCTGAATAACAAAGAATTGGTGAGACAACGCTCCAGTCTGAACTTGCAGAATACTCCATCCTTGGACTCTCCGTGTTTTTTTCTATTCTGCTGGTGGCAAACTGGCAGGATAGAAGCGAGATTGGAGATCCATTAGTATCTCTCCACCATTTCCCATCAATCTTAATTTTCTTGTCCTTTTCTTCCATTTGCAGACAGTGGGGGGAAGCAGATTAAGACTAAGCCATTGTTTGTTTTCAATTCCTTCTCAAAATTGGAGGCAAGGGTGTCTGAACTTTGGATGCAAAACTTCTCCAAGCTTGACATGACTCCTTTTGGGCCTTCCTTCAGGAATAGTGACAGGACAGAAAATCTGATTTTTTTACTATAAAATGGGAAACGTCCTCTAATCTTAGAAGTGGAAATCCTCTTACAATTCATACTCCTTGGAATGTCTGGTAACTTTGTCTAATTTATAAACTTAGTTTTGTTCTGTTGAATATATATACCACCTAGCAACACAAGGCAATATTAAAAAGCCATGAAATGAGAAATGCCCAACAATAAATTTGTAACATTGGAGAGTCTAGTCTAGTCCACAATTTATTCTCTTTGTTCTATCTGTGCATACATGACAACATAGATAATTCTTGCAATTGATGAATGGAGGGACCAAGCTTTCAACAAATACTGCCTGATTGATCTAACTTTCACTCCTTCCCAAATCTGCTCCTTCAACCCCATATAGTGTACTCTTACTGCTCACGCTATTACTACTGTACTACAGTTATACTGTGGAAGAGGGTGTGGGGAGGTGGTCCTTCTGCACCCTTGTCCTATGTATAACCATTAGCCAGTTAAGAGGCTGCCTCAAGAAATTGGTTGCCCCCATTTTACAGGTATGTTTTCCCTTCAGGGCAAAGAGAAGTTCTGAATGGGAAATGAGAATGATTCAAGGCAAAAGCATGTATCCACCCTCTGCCCTTTCATCACTGTGTTGGATAGAGATCGTCTCCCTCCACCATTGCTTTTAAACCATAGGAAATGGGATTTCTGTGATGAGATCTTCCAGTGCCACATCCTATGCAGTGACTGAGAAGTTGCAATGTTCAGCCCACTTGAAAATCAAATCCTCTGACTGGGAAGCCCACGTTCTAACTGAAGTCCTAACAAAATATGGTTATGATAGTGGGAACTCTGCATGTGTTCCGACCCATTAATTCTCAGTAACTTCCATGCAATGAACAGGGCTCTGAGACTGAGATGGTATTGCAGCTGGGGGGAGCACGTACTTCATTAACACCATTTTAATCTCTGAAATGGTGGGGGGACATGGCAGTGATACAATTTCGTAAGAGGCAGAGATGATTGTGTAGTTTTTATTGTGAACTTACCTGAGTTGTGCTCTACGATGGGGATCCATACAAATATTTTAAAAAAAGAAATAATTGAGAAATCTTTGGGGTGGTTATTGCATAATTGTATGGGAATTGGAGGGTATTTTTTTCCCCCAAAAAGGTCTATAAAGTCTACTGAAAGTTTAATGCTCCTTTTTTAGATCTTTTAAAAAAGTTTTTAAAAATGCACCCCCCCCACCCCAATAACTGACTGCACCCTCTTGGGATCCTATGAGTTGTAAAGGTGAAGTCGGGTAAAAATTACTGCCAAGATAGGGATACACACAGCCCATAGGAAGTGGGTTGATCACTCCTTAGGTATATCTGCAAGGAGGGGGTCAAAGAAGTGAAGTTCTGTCCCTTTTTATGTGTTGACCCTGTCACAGAGGCCCTTCCCTAGAGTCAAATCCATCAAATAAGGTCTATATGATTATCTAAAATTATTTTCTGAAATGAGAGCAATATGGACCAGCAACTGAGTTTTGTAGTAGTGTGGAATCAAAATGCAGGCTAACTGCAGTTTTTATTGGCCAGTGCTCCCTGGAGAGGACCCCATCAAGGGCTACTGGGAGACACCCTGCAAACAAAAGAGATGCACTGATATTTTTACGTTTCAGAAAAGGGGAAGGGGAAAATTATGCATGCATACATATTCATATGATGATGCAGGCATACCTAAGTAAGTAATAGATCTCAAGTTACTTTCTGCCCCTCTGCTTGTCTACAAGGAAAACAATAGCCTCACTGGGAAGAAGAAACAAATCCACTCGAGGTGCCAAATGCCACGAAGAACACGTCCTCCTTCAAGACAGATGCCTTGGATGCTATGGGGATATATGTGATGAGGAATTCACAACCAGCCTAGTTCACACCAGCTGTGATAAGGTTTTTTGCAACCAGTCTAATTCCCATCCGCTTCAAGGGTGCTGCACCTTCTTTTATATTTCAATTTTATTAAAGTGCTCCCATTCATCTGAAGCTTCTAAAGGCTTATTTTCCTCACCATAGTATAAAATCTGCTTAGAAGGGTTTTTGTTTCAGGACTATCAAAAAACAGTGAGGCTTGTGTTCTTTACACAACGCATGTTTGTTGAATGCAGCCCTGCATACCTTAATTCTGAATTCTTTTTTTTTTTAAAAAAAAATCCTGTTGTGCTTCAAGTTGTCACTGCTTCCCCCATGTGACTGGAGAACTGAAGGAGCTGGTTGGGAACAGATCATCCTGGGCAAAATGTATCCATATGGTAGTTAAGAGTTAACACCACCTTGATGGCACGTAATCAATCAATCAGTCAGTCAGTTTTCAGAGCCAGAGGATGGCCCTTTGGCCTGATTCCCCAGCTTGAAGAGGGCCTCAAATTTAGGCTCTTGCTGTTTCTTTTTTTAATTAAAATTTCAAATTATATTTCATTTGGTTTTATATACTTTGTAGTTTTATTTTTTATTATGGCTAAGTGTCTCGAAAACACTTAGTGAAGTGTCCCAGAGCACTTTCAACCTTTGATTGCTTACCACTCTAACGTTTAGGGTGAATAAACAGTCCAAAAGCTTCATAGCTAGAATGGGGGCTGTACTGTTTCAATCCAAGAACTGAATTGACTACAGGCAATTATGTTGGGCGCTGTGAGCTAAAGGAAAGCATTTCAAGGCATAATATCCTCACCCAGAAACCTTTCCAAAAGCTCAGGCTTGACAATACTTAGGCCAGGGGTGCCTACAGGTATGGTTAAAAAGCGTCTAGATGGCAGCCACAGTGGTACAATTGAACCTCTACCCATTTTTTAAATCCGTGTCGCACAAGTGACTCACATAAAACCAGGTGGAACTTTGATCACATCATTATGGCTGCCATCTTAAATTAACCCTGCAGACACCCCTGACTTAGGTTGTACTTACACCACCACAGAAATGTTCATTTAATGCTATGGATAGGAATACACTTGCTCATTGGAAGCATTTATTCAACTGTACCATGGATGCCCAGTGTAACCACATCTACTTATGGGGTTCTTACAGGGGATGATGAAATAAGAGCAAGACAAGAGGAAAGTCTAAGGTTACTTCGGATTTATGAAGAGGAAAAAATTACAGAGGTGCAGAAGAGGGGAAAGTGAGGAGCATTTGAAAGGGTGCCGACATTGGCTTTCTGCTGCTTTTCCTGCTTAATTAAAAATATCACAAATGAAACACAAATGGTCTGGATAAGCGACTTAGGTGAGAGAAATGATGTGAATTAAGCCTAGCCTCTCACTTTGGAGGCCATTTCTTTACACAAAATAGATTTGAGCATCATCCAGCAGCATTAGTTTACTTTGGCAGGTGGCCAACGTGGAGGCACTGGCGTTGGCTGCATCTTGGCTGCACTGTGGCGTGTCCCCCTTTTCTTTAGACAGCATTACATCCATTTAGGGATTTACACAGACTTAGATGCATATGAGCTATATCCTGCCTCTATCTTATTTTATCTCTGGCTTAAGGCAACCAAGGTCATGGACATTCTGAGTCTTTAGTTTAGCCCAGTGTTGTCCAAACTTGGCCACTTTAAGATGAGTGGACTTATTCCCCAGCATGGCTGGCTGGGGAATTCTGAGAGTTGAAGTCCACTCATCTTAAAGTGGCCAAGTTTGGACAACACTGGTTTAGCCAGATGTGTGGGCAATGAGGATGGTGAGCAGCCTTCCTTCTATTTTCTTTGAATCCCTTGAGGCATCCAAACTGGGCCAGGTAGGGAGACTGAGGACACTGGAGTTCTTTTCCCTTGGATCCCAGGAGTGGCCAGGCTATTCTCTCCTGCTGATGATGGAAACCGTGTTTGCATCAGCAATTTGCCTGAAGTGTTCCTTCTTAGGATATTGGAATAGATGTTTTGATTTCTGTGAGTCACTTCCTCGGTTTTCAGGCTTAATGTGCCCGCTCCCATTTTAGATAAATCTCACCTACCATCATTTTTAAAAAATGCCTAGGTGTATTTGTGCGAATAAAAACATTTCCACATGGCGCTTGATTGGCGATGAGGAAAAACAGGCTAAATAGGAAATTGGAAAAGAGAGGCCCCAAATGTCTCTGCATGTGGGAAACCATCTTCTTGAAACATAAAGAAGAACACTGAACAAATGCACCTGTGGACATTGAGTGGCTCTTTGTGTGTATGTCTGTGTGTGTCTGTGTATTTTCTCAGAAAATTGGAGTTTATGAGACTTGAAAAGAGACAAAAGAGCCGCAAGGAGTAGAAACATAAAAGGGTTTAATGATGATGTGATATGGATACTAAGTAAGAAGTGAGTAAATAAATGTGGCAATTGTAGAAATACCTTACAAAGCAGAAATGTAGCAGAAGTGTAATTATATAAACCAGCCTAATTCAATAGTGGAACTTTTCAGAGCTGAGATCCATTGTTAGCCCAAGCATACCTTTGCAGAATGATATCTTAAATTTCTTATCATATATTTTATTGTGATAGGGCTGGTGATGTGACACTCAACTTATCAATGGAAAACCAATGGACTGTTTGGGAGAATTAGAGTGGGATCTTTGTCAGCACAAAGGCAAACACAGCAGGGGCTTACAGGCTGATAATGAGCAGGGCAGTATCACCATGTGGACCCTCTGGAGACCCAGGGGGTGGGGGCATCATCCTGGCAGCATTCTGTTTGCCTAGAGAGACATGCTGGTCACACATTCAGACACACTCACCATCCACAGATATTTTCACCCACTTGAGATGGCAGCTCTCAGAAATGTTGTGGGAGCTCAACATCAGCCCAGAAGTCCATGACCCTGGAGTTCAAGAGGGCCCAAATGGCCTCCCAGAGAGCAAGAGGTCATAGAGGACAGTATGAAATAGAACTTCCATCAGAAGGAACTTTTGGCTTTCCAGATGTTCCTGAATTGCAACTCCCAGCAACTCTCCCACTGGCCATATTGCTGGGGCCAGTGACATGGTGTCATAACACAGTAGTGCGACATAAAAGGGTTTGCTGCAGCATCAGGCCTTCCAGTTGGGAAGTTGGCAATTTATGGGAGTAGAATGAGCGAATGACTTAAGAATGAGGAAAGTTGGTCGCTTGAAAAAGGGGATTTGGCATGGTGGGTGTGTGATGACGTGTGTGGAATCAAGTCAACATTAATACCACTGATAGCAAGATGAAAGAGATGGAGAAGATGGAGAAGATAAAGAAGCACTAGAAAGACTTCAGCTGTCAAGTGATTTGGATTTTAGAAACCAAAGTAGCTGTTGTGAATGCTAATGAAAGGTGGATGAGTTCTTTAAGAATGGAATGTTAAGCCAGAAAGGTCATTAATGACATTCATCAATGACTGGAAACCCCTTTTGGACTTTTTGCCTAAGAAAGAATATGATTTTGTGACTTAAGGTTTTGATGGAGAATCTATAGAACCTAATCTAAGAATAGGTTATAGAAAGAAGAGAATTATGATGAAATCTTAGAGAGAGAGCAGTTTGATTAGAATTGTATGTATAACTGCCAAGAGGAAGATGGGAAGTCACTTCAATACAAACTATATACATATATGTATATGTGTATGTGTATATGTATATGTATATGTATATGTATATGTATATGTATATGTATGTATGTGTTAAAGAAAATAATAAGTTTATTGTTTATTGTTAAATAATAAGTTTCTTTAAATAATAAAGAACAGAAAAGAACAGAAAACTAGAGAGAGAGAGAGAGTTTTCTGCTCTTTTATTTTCTTTTTCCTATCTTTTTTTCTCTTTGTCTTTTCTGTTCATTTCTCTTTTTCTTTTTCACATTTACTTTACTATTCTTTTTCTTTGAAGGTATTTCTTATTATCTATGTAAAATCTTTTAATAAAAACTTCTTTAAAAAAAAAAGAAGGGAATGTTAATTGATGTGTTTTATAATTCTAGCAACAGCTATTTCAGGGCTGTCATCAGGGTTTGACATCACTGGCAAATGTCAAAGGTCCATTCCCAGCGAGGGCCTATTGACAAATAGCAAACCCCACTGGCCATGCTATTTTCCTTCTTTTAAGTCACCAACTAATCACCAGCTCTATATAAGCATGTCAGTACTGAGAAGAAACTTGACCTGATTGGGCTCAAAAGAGCAGAGATGAAAAAGAAGGGGGCCCACTCAGGGTGGGGCCCACTGAAAGCATCTTACTCAACCCCCAAACTTGAATCCAAAGGTAAGTTATTTAAATTCTTCACTCACAACCATAGTCATTTCATAAATTAACCAATGTTGGCATTATTACTACTGTGGTTACTACTGTTATTGAAGGCCTTCAAAACCATTATTTATCCTCGTTCTCTGGATGCATTTTCCACTGGACTACTTTGCAGAGTGGAAAACAATAAGCTATTACAGTGGCTTACTAGTGTCCCACTCTGGAAGGGGATGACATTCAGCCTTCACACATCTTTACTGCCTTCATAGGATGTTTTCTAACACCCCTGCAGGCCTCTGAGCAGCTTTGGCATCAAGATACCAATAAAACTAAGAACAGGATCCCCGGAAACAAGTATCAAGTGCTACCAAAAAAAGAGCTGAGGATCAAAACATTTCTCACTGCCTAGAGCCAAGGTACAAGGATGAGGCATTGGCCTAGGAATGACTGTTTGTTAAAATTAGGGCTGGTATTTAAAGGCATCTCAACAGGTGCCCCTGTGGCCATTGGATCCTTTCTTGCTGGTTGAAGGGCTCTGCCAAATTGTTCTGGACAGTCCTGACTCTCCTGGGGGATACTTCTAAAAGCCATTTCCTAAAATACCTTAAATGCTTCCCTTTAAACCAATTTTCCTCATAACCCTTTTCAAGCAGAAGAAGAATTCTTCTCTGCAGATTCAGGAATTCTACATGGCTTGAAAATCCCTGCCATCTGACGTAGGAGGATTTATAGGTTTAGTGGAAATTGCTTTCTCCACTGTCCAGATTAAATATTGTGGGATGCCTTTTTTTTCCCCGTACAAGTAAACATCCTTCCAATAACGAATAGACGGATCATGTTTTAAAAAGATAAAAAGGATCTTCGTTTTGCTTTTTGCTTCTTCCATTTCTTTTCGGGAATAATTCTGGATGCAAGAGCAACAGCTATCGTGTTGATGATTTTAAAAAATGCAGTCAAGCATCTTCTTGCTGTTTTGTGGATGGGTTTTATTTGGAGAATGCAAAGCTAATGGAAAAGAAATCCATGAAGTCTATAAAAAGGGCAGGTGAGTGAAAACCCAGATGAAAAGTGATGCAGTTTTCAAGAGAATATAACAGCCCAGCTATAAGACATCCAAACAGCCATCTCTCATTTGTACTAAAACTATGCCTCGCTTAAACCTTTTGATGAGTTTATAATCAACACACTAAATAAATATAAATCAGTTTAATTTGACATGCACATTTTGGGAAAGGAAATCAGGAGGAATTATTTAATATTAACCAATCAACCATTTAATTAGATGCAATTGGAAAAATTAGACTAAATGGGTAAGTAACCCACCCTCTTTTCTTTCAGTTTAGTATTTTGGATATATTTTTCAACCCATTTACACTTGCACCAAATGAAGATGTCTCTTGTGTTAAACTTCCATGGCAACTTTCTTCCATATATCTCATACATTTTATTTTGTTTATAGGTTCATTAAAATTATTTAACATTTTCATTACCGTAGAATATACTAAAATTATTACATAATATGTCAAATGTCCTCTGTCAGTTACCTAAGCTATTATCAGAAATGAGCAGAATATGTGCTTCTATAGATTGTTTCATAATGTTGTCACTTTTAACAAAAACTATAACCTAAGAAATATGCTAAATAAGGTTGTACTTATTACAAGATAAACTCTACTGAACTCAGTGGAACATACAGAATTTATATCATCTGTAGGGGCTGTAAGATATCCATTAGACTTGAAAATTATTTTAACTAATTAAAAAATCATTTACTGTGAATTATCCAGTATAGCTTTTTTCTTCCAAATGATTCAGGAAGATTAAGATTTTCTTCGTGCAAACAAGTTTAGTGTGGTGAATGTATTAGCATTAATTGCTTGAATCCTTTAGATAAGTTAACTTAAGGAAGTTTCAAGAAAGATAGCCCCCATTCCCCTTCCCATCCTCCCAGCATTTTTGCATCCACAACAGCCTCCCTGAAGAAATCTGTTTAAAGTGAACAAGGAACAAGCTACCTGCCACGTAAAATAGCACCAAGGGGGTTTAATGAAGTTCCTGTTTTTCTTGCTTGTCTGAGTCAGTAAAAAACAGGAATCAGCAGAGGGTCTCCTCCCCTGATTTGAAGAAACATTCCTTTATGAAGTGGAATTCAATGTGAAATGTTATGTTAAAGAAAAATATCCCCCAAGTCCTGACTTGGGAAACTATTCACATTGTCCTAAAACAGCCTCTGCCAACTTGCGGCCCTCCAGGTGCATTACACTGAAAAGCTCCAGGTGCTCATGGGGAATTCTGGGAAGTGTCATCTGGCACATCTGGAGGATGCCAGGTTGGAGCATGCCATCTGGAGAGTATTGCCTGCCAAATCAGGTCCTTAGAAGCAAAATTAAACCAAAGAGGTCTATAAAGAATTCTGCAGCTAGCAAAAGAAGTCCTTTAGGATCTTTATCACTTAATTTTTAAGCCATTCATGAAAATGTCCATGGAGATAGCAAGGCCAATCTAAGGGGATTGCAGTGTATGCCAGCTGTAAGCTGTAGAGCAGCAGGCTGAAGTAGGCTAAGGTGCAAAGGTGAATGCCTGCTTGTGTCTGTCACTCTGTGGCCGAGAGCACAGGTGTTCACTTCAGACCAATGGGGTTTTCAAGCAGGCCAGTCTACCTATTAGCTAATGCAGTTCCATGTTAACTAAGATGTAGATCAACCTAAGAAGGTTTTCAGGGGACCAGGTCCTCTTATAAACTAACACTGCTTCATGTTGGCCAATGAGGTCATTCTCCTAGGATGGATTTTATTGTGTGGTGACTTGTGTAACCCATATGTTTTTCATAGATACATCTTCAATTTTTAGTTCAGGTTCTGTGAATATTCCAGTTTAAATATATAGTTTTAACATCTCATTCTGCAGGAATTCTTCTGTAATATTAAACTAGGTTTGGAAGGGGGAAGGATTCTAAACCTGGTGTTACATTGGGCCTCCAAAATTTTAAACCAACCCTGGCAACACTTTAACAGCTGCCTTAATTTATCAGCATTGCTTTGTCATTGGAAATAAACACTTATTTTTATTCAAAACTGCATACCCTGCAGAGACAAAGCTCCCAGTGGCGCAGAAATGCCAAAGATGCTGCTGGCTGAGAATCAGGGTCAGAGCACTACCAACCTCCTTCAACTCCAGAAGATTCACTTCTAGGAAAGGACAAAGCACCCCCCGAATGTTTGGATTGGCCCATTCCATGGAAACACAGTATTCTGGAACAGACTGCATTGTTTTGCACTCAGCTTACTTCCACAGATGTGATTTATAGTGTCAGACAACCAGTGATGCTATAAATCATTAACACAGACAGGTTTTATACTGACACAGTGATGGTTGGGTGGTGGTATACACTGCTAATGTATAAATGGTCTCTGAACTCAGGAAGCAGAAATCTTCTATATTTTAAGTCTCTAATCTTCTGAGTTCCTAAGCCTCCACTGCTCAAGTCCTGTTCAGAATAACTGCGAGACTGTTTCCTTCCCAAGACTGGATTGCGGTGCATGTGCCCAGAGGCTCATTTGAGTCATTGACACAAATACATTTAAGCCAGGAGTGGATCCTTCTGCTATTCCTCTGTATAGTCATTCTGCACAGGGTGCCCAAATGGCTGTTTGCCTCTTAGCGCTGTTTAGGAAGGTTGGGGAGGGGGCAAATTAAAAGGGAGCAAAAGGAAAGGAACTGATGAACTCAGTTTGGAATATGCAAGGAAAGAGGTTGCCTTACCTTTTTCAGCTAGCCAGTGGGATCTTTTCTTTCTTATTTATAATCTTACTTTCTTACTGGTGCAGAACATTCCTTCGAACTGTGTAGTGCAGACTGGATTTCAAAAGATAGGATTCACATGTAATTGGACTTTATTGGAACTCATGTTTACTGGCACTGAGTAGCTTATCTTTTGTTCTTAAGATCACTTTCATATTGAGATTTAATGAGATTTTATATCAGCTGTAAGGCAGAGTATAAATTTCATCATCATCATCATCATCATCTGAGATATGAATAAGCTTTTGTCCAAGCATGCAATGCCTGTAACCTCCCTTGATAGGAGCAAACAAACTAGGAAGCTTTTGCTTAGTCATAGTTTGCCTTTTTCAGTCAAAACTAGGAGCTAGCTTTAGTGCAAATCATGATATTAAACCATGGTTTAATATTGGTTGAATACCTTTCCCCCACTAAAGCTGTGAACCATGTTTTCCAGATTGGATGAAACTGGAAACCGTAGCTAATTATAGGTTCCTTATTAAGTCAAGATATTAGAGCAACACCTCACTGACCTTGTGTGAGCTCTGAAGTTAAGTAGGGTCAACTTGATTAGAATCTGGATGGGAGACCACTAGGGTATTTCTGGATGATAGGCTAGATTAGGGAAGTAGGGAAAAATTCGTGAAGAAGGCAGTGCCAAAACATTTTTATTTTGTTGCCAGGAGAATTGCATGAATATATCAATACAGTCAACCAGGAATTGAACTCAGTTCAAAGATACCTTCATGTTTTACTTTTATTATGCGAAGATTATTGTCCCAGCAGGCAACCATAATTTATATAACATATATTTTATCTTCAGCTTGGCTTCTAAAATATCTAAAAAGTATGCCCTGTATAAGCAGGTTCAGACAGTTTAGTATGCCCAATGGAATTTTTAGCCTTAGTTTTCTACCAGAGCTTCTCAAATTTCCAACCAGGATCAGAGCTGACTTTTGACTGGATGCTCTTGTTATGGGGAAACTACAAGTAAGCCTGTTATAAAAGTGAGTTAAGAGTTTGACATGAACTGCTAAAAGAAGGACTTAAGGAGTACTGAAGTTTGCTTGTTTATTCATTTGTTTCTGATGCATAGAATGGCAAAGCTTGCCAAAGGGAAAGGGAGATGAGGGATGGGATGGGATGCTGAGGGGTGGGGGAGGGAGAGGAAAAACAGAGTTTCCTGCTGCAACAAAGCAGATATACTCCTTTCCTCAGCTGCCATGGGAATCCTACTATGACCCAGATTTCATCTATTTTTATCTCTCTCATTTTATTATCTGTTTTCATCCTCCCCTTCATACCCAGCTGTCATTTCTACTAAACTACCATTGTCTAAGCCCCTTGGTTTTCATACAATGAGCTCAATAATCTACCAAAAGCAATGGAAGGATGAATATCTATGTCCTCTTCCTTCTTACTGACTGCCTTGTTCTTCTCTTCCTCCTCCAAACACGGTTGGGATTCTGCATCTTCTAATTCTTTCCTTTTTGAGATGGTCCTTGCTATGGCATGGAGGATGCAGATTTTTTTTCAGGCCCTTAACCTTTGGGGGATGTGTAGGAGACCACCTCCAAAAAATAAACATGGAAGAAAAATGAATGGGGCTGGCATTCAAAATCATAAATCATAAAATATGATTTGCTGTATTAAAACAAATGCAGGATTGATCTGATAGACCAAATATTGCTGACTTCATAATGGATGGTGAGATGTGCAGTCCAGTGTCGAGGAAGATTAGGATTCGTATCTCCCCTTCCGTGACCCAGCAAAGGAATATGAAAAGAGGGGATCACGTTTTCACCAATTCCCCTTTCTGCAGCTGGCACCTTCTGCTATCTAAAGGTTCTCTCAATTCCTCAACAAAGATTTTTGGAGGATGCAAGAGGTGGCTGAGGGAAATCTGCAAAAGTCACCTCCATTTTCCACCAGCAAGAGAGGCCCCAGGGTAGAATTCTTGCTGAACCATCTAATCCAGATTAACAGGGAACCATAAATGGAAAAGAAAGAGGGTTCAAAGTACAGTATGGGAGTTGATGCCAAAAGTGAAAAAGAAAAAAATTCAAAAAAAAAAAAAAGGTCAGTAGGGCAAGTGTTGCTGCAAGAAAACAACTGAACAATATGCCCTCAAGAACTCAGCGTCAATGTTAGCTTTATCTCGCAAAGTGGCCTGCAAAACTTGTAACCAAGTTAATAGCTATACTGTAGTGAAACTTAAAATATGACTTGTGAGGGAGATAAGGGTAAGCAGAGTTATGCAAAATATCATTATTATTATGCTGCAAAACACACATTGAGTCTGAGTGGTGGGCAAGACTTACGACCCCACCTCTGAGTTTATGTCCTCCAATGTCTAAAAAATATGTATGCTTTCCACGTGATGGATAATCAGTGAGCAACGACAGGAAGATGAAGATCTAGATCTAGATCAAGGCCACTCCTCATCCACATAACAAGAGGAACAATACTGTATTGAACTACAAAAGTCTTTCTAGAGTTCACCAGAGTGACCAGCTTGTATTTTGTTTGGCAATGTCTTGCTGTTGGCATAGGGTTTGCAAGTTGTGATTTATGGTTTAGTACAGTGGTTCTTAAACTGACCCAATTACCCCTTCCCTGGTCTTGAATAATGTCATTACTCCCACAAAAAAAAATCAGTCTCTATTGTTTTACACAAGCTTCTCAGCAGCGACAGTCCCAAACTGGATCCTTGACTCACAAACAAGCTATTACAAATTGCTCCCAAGATATACCCAAGTTACCACCTTGGGAGGAATCACCCCCGCTTAAATCACTGGTTTAGTATGCTGTACACACTTGGTATCACCAAGTCTTTTCCTGCCATGGGCTTGGATTATACTGGAGTTGTTTCATAAATTTGTTTTTTTCTCTTGACTTGACATGGTGATTAAGTTTAAGGCAAATTCAGCTTTGTGGGAGCTTCTGAAAATTGTATTCTTGTTCTTTCTGGTTTTATAGCCAGCCTCAAAGACAGAGAAGAGAAACACATGGAGAATCACACAAGCAAGGCAGGTATGCAACTAAAATTGAAGTGATAAACTGAAAATTGAAATTCTTATAGCTTCTTTCCCTCCTCATCCCCATACCTAAAAGAGAAACTAGTGGTATGGTTCTGCTAATGTAAATTCTGGATTTGACAGTTGGATTGGAGGGATTGAGCTGGCTTTTTAGGTGGTAAAACTACATATATTATTTTACTAAATTTCAGAATTTGGTAAGTTATGTGCTTGCTGCATCTGATGGGAGAACTCCATTCTTTTCTCAAAGACCTTGTCTGCCATTTTCAAGCAAGATATCTACCAGACCAAGGGTCTGTGTCCTTCCAGATGTGCTCCAACTCACATCAGTTTGCTAACATCTGGACGTTCACAGTTTCTTAACCCCTTCATGGCCCTTCGGTTATTTTGAATTACAGCTCCCAACAATTCTTCCCATGGAGACTGCAGCAGCTGGGAGTTGTAGTTCCTTGGCAGTCACAGGCTTTTTTTAAGGACTAGTTTGTACATGTATGGATTTTGCTTGATTGCTTCACATTTCAGCCCTGCTTACACAAAGTAAAAGAAATTATGGATTACGGGGTTCGGAGCAGCAAGGGATGGGATCACCTCTGTTAGGCCTCATCTTCAATCACCCACACTTTCAACAGAATTTGGCTGCACAAAGAATCCAACCCTGCTCTTCTACTAACAGAACTGCTTCTACTGTACAGTCAGACTGAGAAAGGAATGATGTAGAGAACCTCCAGAAGATACTTTGCAAGGGTGTGGGGAGAGGTTTCCAAGAGAAGGAAATACCACTTTCTTCATTTGTGTGTCCAGCCTATGGCTGTATGGAGTACACTTGGGCACCCAAAACAGAGAAAGCAAAAAAGGACAGAGAATTGAACAATTTTTGCATATGGTGTTTCAAAGGTATAGTTGCAAAAGAGTAAATAATTACTATGGTTTAAATAGCTTTCCACGCCTCCATTTCAAATATGATTGTGACCAGAGTCTCAATCTGCTCAGTCTGTTCTTCAGATGGGACTATTGCTGAGTAATTTCAAGGCCTGCAAATGTTATGTTCTGAGCACTTGGACTGCCCTCAGACACTTGGCTTTTGTAGTACTTGGCTTCTATACTTCCAACTCTGTTGAGATCATAAATCATTACTTTATTTTTCAACTGCAGCCAGTTTTTATCTGATGCATAGTTCTTTAATGCTTCTCCTTAATCAAGCTGTTGCAAAATTACCTTAGAAATTCTTACAAGTGTAATGTTGTCTGTTCCTCTCCCTCCATTGCTATTGTTTGGTATAAAGGTACATTAGGTGGATTATATGCTAGGGAAAAGAGGACTTCCTGAGTTTGGGATCTATTTTATTAGCACCTGAAGCACAAAACCAAAATAACCCTTCAGAGCAGACTGGCACTTAATAAAATTAGGGACCAGCCACAGATCAAGAATGAGTTTTAATGAGTTCTGAGCCTGATTCCCCACTAACATCCTTCACGAGACTTTTAGTTATTGTTGTTAAGCATCTGGGAATTTGCAGATTTCTTGAATATCACTTGGAGGTTTAATGGGACTGCTGGGCTGCTCCAGAGCCTTGCAGCCAAGAACGTTCCCAAATTCATCATCAATCTTCCTTTATTCTTTTTTTAAACCTCCATATGTGCTGTTCCTAATAAGGGGGAGACCTGAGAAAAGAGAAGGAAGGAATATGTGTATATTTGTATATTTTGGGGTGGGGAAGGGATGGAGAACAGATTGTGAGGATGGCATACCCAAAACATATTTCTCATCTTGGAGTCCCAGTCCTAGGACTGTGCAACCCTTCAGTTTCAAAGGCAAAATGATGCTTCAGTGCATAAAGGATGCTCACATAGTTCCTGTTGTCTGTAACTCCTGAAAGCAGGTGCCTCTTTTCCTTTCCAGCTTCAATCTGTTTCCAGAAAAAAAAAACCAGCTGGTTTAAGAAGTTGCAGGCAGGGCTGCATTCACATCCCTAAACACTCCAAAGCACCTTCTTGCCTTTGAACTGGAAGTATTACACAGCCCAAGTGTGGAGCTCTCCAATCCACCCCACCCCACCCCACCCCACCCCAATCCCATCAGTCTTTATCAGTAGATACCAATCTACTGCATACTTCTGTTGCTTGCTCTGTTTTGGGACTGCAATATTTGAAATGTGTTTTATCATTTACCCCATGTGGGTCCCACATATTCAAGAATTATCTGATGCTCCCAGCCTTTTCAGTGAACTCAGGGACTCTATCATACAATCCAGAGAAAATCCTCATTCTTGAATATTTATGGATATTGTTCATCAGAATAAATATGAAAAACTTATTTCTAACCCTCTGATCTGTTCTGATTCATTGGGGGCCCAACCCCCAAACTAAGGAATAATGTTTTACAGACATGCATTTGTTGTCTCCCTGCCACGTAGCCCTATACTGAAACGAAGTCCCGATATCACCAAATCTCCACTGATAAAATCAGAACAACTTCTCCAAATAGACGACCATGACTTCAGCATGCGGCCAGGCTTTGGAGGTATGGTAGAGGAGGTTGATAATACATTTTTTCCTCCACTGCTTCCTGACAAAACATTGCATTGGTTTTGCACAAAAAATGAATGGGAAGAGTCACTGTATACTGTGAAATGTACAGTAAGTGTTTGCTTAAAACAGAGAATGGCTTTTTCTTGATGTAGTTTTTCAGACCTTGGGCATTTTTTTGGAAGAGATGACTGTAACTTTAATGTATCCATTTCCAACCTGGTGTCCTTCGTATAAGTTTAAGTTACAATTTGAAGGGTACAACTATTGCTAATAGTTGTAGGACAGACCGAAACTTTGTATTAGGTTTTTCTTTCACTGCATCCTGGTACTGAGAAATTTACCAGTTGAATTTCTGCCTGTTGTTAAGCTGCAAAAACAGGGTCCTGTTGGGGGTGAGATGGCAGGGATTGTGTGGGAAATGTTTAACATCTACTTGAAGCCACTGGGTGAGGCCATCTCCCAGCATGAGGCTAAATATGATCAATATAGGTAGTCCTTGAGTTTCGTCCATTCATGCAAACAAAGTTATGACGGCGCTGAACGAGAGGGACTTATGACTGGTCCTCAGAGTTCCAGCCATCACAGCATTCCTATGGTCATGTGATCATGAACCAGGTGCTTGACATCTAGCTGACAATTGCGTCACAGCAAGCCGTAGTCATGTGATTGTGATTTCTGTCATTCCCAAGCAGGAAATTCGAAGTCGTGGTCATCTGAGGTCCTTGCTTAATGATGCACATGGTCCTTGCTTAACAATGGCAACTAGGACTGTCAGAACTGCTGTTGTTAAGCAACATGGTCACGTGATGTCTTGCTTTATCACTGCATCGCTTATCAACCGCAATTCCAGTCCTAACTGCCGTTGAAAGTCAACAATTACCTGTGTGATGATGATATTAAATTGTGCTGTGGGCATGCATGTGCTACAGAGTATGAGATCCCCAGGATCTTATACTGTGTAGCCGGGCTCCTTGGGAGAAAAAGTTGTGGGAGTGGGAGCGACTTACAGGGGCTTCTTGCAACTTTCCTTGCTGGCTTCCCTATTGACCTTGCTTATGGGAAGCAGGCAGGGAAGGTTGCATATGGTAATCACATGTCTGTGGGACACTGCAACCATCATAAGTGCAAGCCAGTTGCCAAGCATCCAGATTGCGATCACATGACCCTGGGGGCTGCTGGGATGGCTGGAACTTCAAGGACTAGTCACAAGTACCACTCGTTCAACCCCATTGTAACTTTGAACGGTCAGTGAATAAGTGGTCATTAACCGAGGACTGCCTGTACTGTGCTACATAGGTCCATTTTGTATTTATTTCTGATGTTATTGTTTTTGACTTTTTAACAATGTTCTCTACCCAGAGTCCCAAACTGTGAGTGGGAGGCCTTAAAAATTCTATAAATAAAAAAAATTCCATTACAGAAATGCTTTCTGTCTTTTTGAATATCTATCCTAATGGTTGACATAGATATGCTTCTATGTTTCTCCAGGCCCTGCAATTCCTGTTGGAGTTGATGTACAAGTTGAAAGCCTAGACAGTATCTCAGAGGTTGACATGGTAAGTACCCAATGTATGACTCAGATTCCAAATGGCTTGTTGAAATATGATTCATTTCATTGTTCATAAAGACACCTGGGACTCCCTGAGCTCTAGGACATTTATTGAGATCAGCAATGTCTGGAGATAGTACTCAAGGGAGTATTTTTTGCATATTCATATCTGTTTACAAAAGTAATTCAGGCAGTGTCTTTTGGTACAAGCCAATCATCTGCACCATAAACTCATCCCCCTCCCACAAATGCTCAGGAAATGCAATATAAAGTTAACAACTTCAGATCCAGAAGTATGCAACCGGATGCTCCAGGATCTACCTAAAGCTACATGCAACTCCCTAAGATTTACAAAAATGCTATCAAATTGTAATTGTTAACAGGAAAGAACGGGTAAATTATTATAGACATGGCTGGGTAATAATTATATCAACAATATTTAATTTTCAATAAATATAAATAAAATGAAATCAAATTTAGGTTTTGTTTGAACCTAATGCTTTTTGCAGTTCAGCTGCTTGCATGCCATTCAAATGCCATTCACAAACCTTGGCTCAGAAATAGCTGAACATCCTTGATCTAACAGGAAAACATTCACAAATATTATAACCCTTTGAACACATTTATAAACAGGGGAATTCCCACAAGAGCATCCTAGAAGAGCATAGGAGCTGCTACTGGATCCAAATCTACATACTTGTGAAAGTGTCACTTAGGAGTACTACTATGACTTCCATGCAGGGAATGTATTTATTGTAGGATTAATATAACATAGTGGAGGTGTTGAAATTTGCAGTATCAAAGTGGGGCCTGTTTTAGTTTTATTCATTAAATGGTTTTTATGTTTTTTAAAAATTACAAATAATTACAATTCTATCAAATATTTCAAGAGAATTTTTATCATGTTTAAAAGTGGATGATAATTTTTTTATTTGTAACTACTTATTCCACTAAGTGCTTAAACATTTATTCCATTAAGTGTTTTTGTATTTTTATTATTTGCTGCATGTGATTAAATAATATTTGTCAATGAAAAAGTCTCTTTTTCCAATTTTTGGTCTTCATTAGGATTTCACCATGACCCTTTACCTGAGACATTACTGGAAAGATGAAAGATTATCATTTCCAAGTTCCAATAACCAAAGTATGACCTTTGATGGCAGACTTGTGAAAAAGATCTGGGTGCCCGACATGTTCTTTGTCCATTCCAAGCGTTCCTTTATCCATGACACAACGACAGATAATGTCATGCTTCGAGTACAGCCAGATGGGAAAGTGCTTTACAGCTTGAGGTAAAATGTAGTAGTAGTAGTAGTAGTAGTAGTAGTAGTAGTAGTAGTAGTAATAATAATAATAATAATAGTCAACAACATCTGGAGTACCACTTGAAGACCATCAGCATTGACCAACTCACCATCAGTCAATTGCAAAAGGCAACTTTACTTGGGACAGCTTACATCCTGCGACGATACCTCTAACACCATCAAACAACAACATCTGCCTATCCCAGGTTCTTGGGAAGGACTCGATAGGTAGATAAAAATGCCAAATCCAGTCTAAACATTGGCTGACTGTGTGACCAACAAAAATACCATAATAATAATAATAATAATAATAATAATAATAATAATAATAATAATTTAAACTTGTATGCTTCCTCTCTCAACAACTCTGGGCAGCTCACACCAATCAAACAAATTACAACCAAATTATTAAAACATAATAGATAAAAATAAAAGATGGCAATGAAATTCAGAAATGTAATTCAGTCACCTTTTATTTTGTTTCTGATAGTTTGAGGACACTTGAGGTCAGGGTGGCTTCATTATCTTCACTGCAGAATACTTATATATAGCATAAACTAGTACCACATGAAGAAAAATGACGCACATCCCCCAAGTCTGTCCCAGAATTAGTTCTTCACTTTATGTGTTACTCTCAAACCACTAAGTATCAAATTAAAATATAAATGAATGACATGATATAATCTAAGTTCAGAATAGCATGTAATTACTTTAGGTGACAACTCTAGATTGAGCATTATAGGTGGTTATCTTGAGACATTTAATTTCCACCTTGGTGGTTTAAGTAACTTAATAAGAGCAAATTAAATCAAACTAAATGAAATGTAGTGCCACTGAAATTATTAATTTATTGCTAACATTTATATGCTGTTTATTTGTATGAGCAGGTACTTCCCCACAACATGTACTTGCTCTTTGGATGATGGATGACTATTTAGTCTTTAAATATGGCTTAAAAACTGTTTGCTGGATTCTGAGTAATAGGGGTGCTCCTCTGATTGGGGATTTGTGGCTTTTGGACTGGCCTTGGTGACAGGCTTCCCTGGCATTTATGTTGTATATTATTTAATTCTACCACATTTTTAAAAATATATCTATATCTATATATCTATCTATCTAGTAAGTTTTATACAATCTAGTTTATCTCCTCTTTTTATTGTAAATATCTGTTTGATATCTCACTATTCCTTCAGAATAACCTAAATTCTAAATCCTTTGGTTTGCAATATGTCTGTTTTGTAATTTTGTGTATTTGGGGGACCTTAAATTACCTTCTCAGAGGTGGGAGGAAGGAGTCTGTGGTTTCTGAGTGCCTGGAGTGCCCTAGTGCTGCTGTTTGTGTCAGGGAGGCTGGACCTTTTCAACCAGTTCAACCCAGATGACTAATGGACCTTATTGGGTTTCAGAGGGAGCTTGAGGTTGTTCCTGAAAGTCTGGTGCACAGTCCAACTGAAACCTTAGTCACTGCTTGGAATAAGAGGGCGGCTGGGGCCCTGGATCAGATTGTGCCTATATACCCTCTCTCCTCTTGTTGACTCTGCAGCTTCCCTTGGTTTACTGAGGAGCTGAGGGAGATGAAACACAAGAAGAGATGCCTGGAATGTCACTGAAGGACAACAAGGAGTGGATGCAAGTTAGAGCCTCTGTTAAGGCCTACCTTGTGGTGGTTAGGGCAGCAAAATGTTAAGATTTCTCTACCCTTATTGCATACGCAGACAATCATGCAGCAGCCCTGTTCAGAATGACCTGACTCCTCTTGGGGAGAGTCAAACCAGAAGTTTTTCTTTAGGGCCACTGGGGAATATTCTGTTAGATAAAGTTGCTTGGATTCACTCCAAGCTGGATTATGGCCTTGAGGTAGATTCTGTGATCTCTCAGTGGCTTTCAACATCAATGACCATGGTATCCTTCTGGACCAACTCTGGGATTTAGGAGTGGGAGGCAATTTTGTGTTGTTTCTCCTCCTTTTTCCAGAGCTGTGTCCAGTTGGTGTGATGTGGGGAAAAGTGATCCACCCACGGCCCCTTCTTTGTGGAGTCCCTCAGGGCTCTCTGCTCTTCCCACTCCTATTTAACATCTACTTGAAGCTGCTGGATGAGCTCATCTGATGGCACAGGGTGAGGTATCAACAGTATGCTGATGATACCCAGCTCTACATCTGTACCCAAGGCCAACCAAATGATGCCATGGAGTTTCTGTCTCAGAGCCTGGAGGCTGTGGAGGCCTTGAGGGGAAGAACAGGCTTCAGCAAAATCCAGACAAGACTGAGTGGCTGTGGGTTTTAAGAGCCCCTGGATCTATTGCTTTTCCATCTTTGGTTCTGAATGAGCTTGCACTACTGTGAACAGAATCGGTATGCAATCTGGGGATCCTCCTGGACTCACAACTCTTTTTTGTAGAGCAGGTGGTAGTTGTGGCTGAGACGGGTTTTGCACAATTTCATTTGGTGAGCCAGTTGCACCCCTTCCTGGATTGGGAGGTACTGTTCATGGTCACTCATGCCTTAGACACCTCCTAAGTAGATTACTACAATGTGCTCTAAATGGGGCTGCCTTTGAAGACCATCTGGAAGCTGCAACTGGTCCAGAATGTGGTGGCACTTTGTATATTGGCATACCTCAATACGCCCATCTTAACCTCTGCCTGCAAGCTGCACTGGCTCCCAGTGTGCTTCCAGGTGGAATTCATCTATCATTCATGGTAGATAGATCAGAACCCTAACACATATAGCAGAAGCCCTTCTATTGTGGGAAGTGGAGTCTTGATTTAAGGTACCATGTTTAGGATTGCCAGCACATAGTCGGTGCATGTTTACTCAGAAGTAAGTTCCATTATGTCATTGGGTTAACAGTACTCAATATTTATACCGCTGCTTTAGATTGCAATTCTGAGTGTATATCTCACTGAATATAATGGGAATTACTATAATTAAGCATCAACAAAATTTCATTGCCTATTATGCAGCACCCTATTAAAACATGTTGGAAATGGAATGTCGATCTAACCTGTGTAATTCCTCTTTTCTTCCCCCATTTCTCATTTTAATAGTAAGACATATTAAATATACTTACTGTGTTTCTAGGGTCACTGTAACAGCAATGTGTAACATGGATTTCAGTCGTTTTCCCCTTGACACACAGACATGTTCACTGGAAATTGAAAGCTGTAAGTAAACAAGTACTAAAAGCCATACATTGATTCCTTAAAGGTAACTTCTAAGTAGGCTTGCATGCTATTCTTCCAGTAGGTGTAGCAGACATTGTTTGCAAATTCAGCCTTCTTTCCCTTCTAAGTCCCTTAGGATCTGTGTCTAGACTGGGTTAGCTACTTCTCATTAAAGTGACCAGATTTTTTTTAAAAGCTTTTTTTAAAAAAGTAAATAACCTATAGTGCAGATTTTAGTAAATAATCTGGAAATTATAAAACAACCCTTTGCTTATTTATATGTTATGAAAACAGTGATGATAAGGTGTTGTGCTGAAGTTAGATGTACAATTATTCATGTTAAGTACTAATAAAGTGGCAGCTGTCCAACTTCATTTTTAGAAAAAAAAATTGCCAGCTTTTTGTTATGCCGCTATCAATAATATTGAAGGGGTAAAACTTGCCCCTCATCATTGATATTAAGAGTATTGGTTGGAGAAAAAATTAGACCAGGAAGAACTGCTAATATGCTTGTAATAACAAGAATTAAAATGTGCTGTATATAAGATAGGATGAGAGATACAGGAGTTGAAATATAAAACATTACAGGGTATCAGGTTGGTGAAGGCTGCACTGGGCTGTGTTATCTGGATTCATTGCCATAAAAAAATTCCTCCCTCTGTAGATGCTTATACTGAAGATGATCTCATGCTGTACTGGAAGAATGGAAATGATTCCTTGAAAACAGATGATAGAATATCATTATCTCAGTTCCTTATCCAAGAGTTCCATACTACCACCAAGCTTGCTTTCTATAGCAGCACAGGTAAGTGAACTTGGATCACAAAGCTTATTTCTTCATGCTTTTACAATGAGAATTCATTTGCTTTCTGTCCTACAAAAGCTCAGCAGATGAATCCCAAATTCAGGCTTGAATTGTACATCTCTGTGTGCAGCGTTGTAACTTGGTATTGGTTGGATTCTGTAGCAATGGGAGGAAGGAGGCCGGTCCCTCACACATACCCACACCATCTGGCCAGACCCCTCTCTAGGATCTCCACCCTCAGTTCTGGGAGTGCTGGGGGCGCTGCCCCCCCGCCATGAAAGAGTGCCACTGGGCAGGTAGTTATGCTATCTCCACCTGTACTGTAGCTGGAATGCCTCTTTAGCTGGAATCTGGAGCTATAGTTATGACCCGGGTGCCAACGTGGCACCCTTGCATGTGTAACTCATATGAATTAAGGCAATCATGGTGCGCATGTTAAAAACCGAATGGCTTTTTCATCTGCTGCTTTGTGTGTCCATAGCAATTTGATCTATTTACATTTCTTAGATTATGTATTTATTTATAACTTTTAGACAGCTTTTCCTGTAGTTCAAAGTAACACAACTGAATGAAACTTGAAAATACAAATAAATATGAGAAAAATACGACAGTGCTGAAATTAAACAAATGTAGACAATCCCAGTTTTAAACTGACCCCCCAAAATATCATGTTTTACAACCTCTCCAGAAATTCAACAAATAATTTCTTAACCTTTTCTGGTTTGGAAGATGGAAAAACTTGGCTTCTGCCTACTATTATCCTGACAACAAAACTAGACAGTGGTCCTCGGAATCCCTCACAACTATTTTTGTAGTTAAAAACCAACTCCTTGACAAGGGATTTTAAGTCAATATAACCATTAATTGAGATAATTGCATATATTATTTACAATTAAATGTATAAGAAGATTTAAGGTATATAACCCAAGAAGATTGTATAACCAAAATATTTGCAAATTTGAGATTTCCATGGCAAGATTACTGTTGCATTCAAGAGTGGCTTTATCATTGTTTATCATGTACTTAAAAGTGATGTGCTGAAAGATAATAATTTGCCTGAAGAAATGCTTCAGTTTAATAAATTCTTAACATCTCCACATAGAAAGGTTAGAGAGGCTAGAGAGAAGAAAGAGCAGAATTAATTCTTCTACGAACAGGACTGTTAATGGAACTTAATAGGACTAGGACCCTTCTATTTGCCAGAATGCCACTTGTCCACCTGTTCCAGTGTGACTGAGGGCACTTTGACAGCGAGAGGTGAAGGCGACTTTAAGGAGAACAATTGCTTCAGAGACAGTGACCATGGAGGCTTTTTTTGTCTTTTTCACTATGTACAAGAATATTTATAGAAATTAGGGAAAAAACAGAACTATTTGCAGCAGACTTTCCAAACTTCCTGGCGTCTTTCTCTACCTGTTTCTCATGACTATTTGTTAGCATCCACCCGCTCTGTTGCCTAGCTACCAAAACTTCCCTTTCTCCTCCTTCCTCCCCCTCAGCTTTTCACTATGAGAGAGACAGAAAGAGAGAGAGAAAGAGAGAAAAGGGAATTGAGTGATTTATTTTGCTATGTACTTAATTCTTGGTGCTTTTTCGGACCTCGGCAGCCATCCTTCTGCATCGCTGTTGATAGATACGCCTCCCTCCGGGTCTTTTGCTCACCCTTCTCAGTGTGGGGCTTCCCCGAGGTCTCCAGGCCTGTCTCTGTCCCTGTCTGCCTTGGGTGTGCATGAAGCAGGTCCCTCTGTCTTGGGTTTTTGCTTCTCTTCTCCCAGGGAAGCCTCCAGCTAATGTCTTCACCCCTTTTCCCTCTGGGGCCAGGAAATGGCACCTACACACTCTAGCAGCCCAGACGCTCACAGCAATGTCTCTCTCCTGCTACCAACTTCCCACACAGTCACTCCAAGACACCTACTGCCTCAATTCCTCAAAGCGGCCCAGGCTCAAAATGTGGCAATGTGTCTCTCCATCCTGCATCTCTCTCTCTCCCCCTTTGTGGCTCAAACCGGCAGCATCTCCTCCAGCAACCGAGGAGGTGGGTTTCCCCCCAGGGCCTTAGCCCCCTACACCTGTACGCTAGGTTTGGCCAATGAGAATGCTGCCTCCATTGCTGGCTAGCAGCCAGGTCAGCTCAGCTGCCCTCGTGACAGCACAGATGGACTTCAGGGCCCTGCCTGAGCCTCTTCTCCCATTCTTTCCTCTCTCCTTCTGCTGACTCACACGGGCTCAGCAATAGCCAGCCTGGCCACAAAACCCATATGCCACAAACCATGAAGAGAGTAAGTAATTGCTTGGCTGAGAATCATGAACAACTTTGGGATGGGTCTATCCGATTTCACCAAACTTGGGGAAATCAGTATCTTTTGCTCAATTTTTTTAAATATCTAAATTGAACCCACAGGAGTTCTTAATACTACTTGCATATTATTAATGTTTTAACAGAATGGTGAGGAGTCCCCCGTTTTGGTAATAATTCAAAGTAAACCGGTACAGTATTATGAAAAGAAATACTGTAACAGTTTAACGTCATTTATGTGTTTTTTATCACTGGTGCTCTTGATTATGAACTAGTTCTCCCTCTTTCTTTCGTAGGTTGGTACAACCGTCTCTTCATCAACTTCACGTTACGACGGCACATCTTCTTCTTCTTACTCCAGACCTATTTCCCTGCCACTCTGATGGTCATGTTGTCTTGGGTTTCTTTTTGGATAGACCGTCGTGCTGTGCCTGCAAGAGTTCCCTTAGGTAAGTGAGCGTATGCTGTATCTATCTCTGTTCTATTTAGAGCAACTGCAATCTAGGAGACCCTGTATTGACAAGTAACTATAGTTATGATGTTTTTACCTCCCCTCTTCTTCCCTACAGGGCACTGCATTCTTAGCTGGCCATAAGGATAAGAAGCAGGTGAAAGCTGATAGATATAGAGGATAGATTAGAGAGAGAGAGACAGACAGACAGACAGACAGACAGAATAACGTGGACTATTTTAATATTTAATATTTTATTTTAAAAATTAAAAATATTTTAACAGGTATATATGATTTGTGTTTATTTGAAAACAAGCTCCATTAAACCACATTATTTTTAATTAGAGGTAAGCTTGCTTTAGATTGCAAATGTGCAATCCCATCCAACAATTATTTTCTCGGAAATAAGCCCTGCTGTGTTCAAGTCTTACTTCCTCCCCCAAAGTGTGTCTAGGATGGCAACCTGAGTCTGGTTCTGTGCCAAGAAAGCTGAATTAACCATCCTCAAGGCATCCATGCAGCAGCCTGTACAATATTGTGTAGAGTGTGCACAAACAGGCTTTAAGCTTCCCATAAAAATACAGAAGCATGAATAAAGATGGCAGCTCATCACGATCAAATAAGATCTTTAAGTCAACATGTTATTTTCTTAAAAAATAAAAAATGGGTATCTTCAAATGGATAATTGTAATATCCTTAGGTATCACGACGGTACTGACCATGTCTACCATCATCACTGGTGTCAATGCCTCCATGCCTCGAGTTTCCTACATCAAAGCTGTGGACATTTACCTCTGGGTCAGTTTTGTGTTTGTCTTCCTCTCAGTATTAGAGTACGCTGCGGTGAATTACCTGACCACGGTGCAAGAGCGAAAAGAGCGGAAGCAATGCGAGAAGGTAAATGTTACCATCATATGGAGCTACGTCGTGTAACTGAGATATTAATACAGATGCATAAAATGGTTTTAAAAATAAACTAAATATTTAAACTTAAAGCAAAGTAATATATAACTATGACAGGAACCAACGAAAACCAGCGTATGTAGCTCTGTCCATTTGAATGCCATTCTTTCTCTCTCCTCCACAGCTTTCTTGTGCTTCTGCAATCCCACAGCCAAAGCAAATGACAGGGATGGATGGCAGTTACAGTGATGGAGAAGTAAACGAATTAGGGCAGTATGTGTCTGAGAATGGAGGCAAAGAAGACAGAATGATGGTCCAGCTGGCTCTTGGATCAGAAGGAAATTCAAGTAGGAGGAAAGTCCAGAGATATAGCAGCATGAGAATTGACACTCATGCCATTGACAAGTATTCCAGAATAATATTCCCTGGAGCATATATTTTATTTAATATGATATATTGGTCCATTTTTTCATAATTACTTTTTTTTTCTTTAGCCATTTTCTATGTGTTACATGCAATAACACCATACATGAAATTACAGTCAAGTAAATTTGAAAGTGGAAACTGAATGTTCTTCACTCTGCCTGATAATGTTTGTACTCTTATATGAAATTCACTTAAATTACTCTCCTATTCATTTTCTTGTGGTTTCGATGGGAAATAGCAAAGGAGAAGGGAAAAGCCTACCTTTTGCAAAGTGGTTCAAACACTTTGAACAGTGTTTTTATTTTAAAAGGCATGTGCTAAATATTACTAAAGGACTATAAAAGGCAAGATGTTTTAAATGTCTCATTTGAAATGTCTAATTATGGCATTTGTAGTTCAGCTACAGAAATGGACTATATTTTAAGATTTTGTTTTCATATGTAAATATATTGATTATGTGTCATTAAGTCAGAATCAATTCCTAGCAGCCATATAGACAGACCTTCTCCAGGATGATCTGTCCCCAGTCTGGCCCATCAGATCTTCTAACATTGCCACTATAATTGAGTCTGTCCACTTTGCTCCTGGTTGTCCTTTTTTTCTCTTTCTTCCCACATTTCCCAGCATTATAGACCTTTCCAGGGGACTTTGAATTATGCCTCCAAAATATTTGAGCTTGGTCATTTTGTTTTGAGTAAGAACTCTCTGTTGATTTGTTCTATGATCCTTTTGTTTGTTTTCTGGCTATCCATGGTATTCTCAGGAGTCTTCTCCAACACCAAAGTTCAAAAGCATCAATATTATTTTAAAAAATCAGTGTCTCTGTAGATAAATTACAAATGTAGGTACTCTACAACTACTTTACAAGACTTAATTTTAAAAGTGTAAATGCTAAGCTTTTATTTATTTTATTTAGAATATTCTGCCTTAGTAAAGAAAATATTTTTGATACTTTGATACTCTGCAGAAAACTGAATACCTAAAATTATTATGAAATGATAGAAAAACATTTTCTGAAGGCCATTTACTGAATTAGCAGTACTGCTGGTGCCTAAATTGAACACTTTTTTGTTTAAATCAACGAATCTGACATTTTAAAGGATATATATTGGCATCAGCTTTGTGGATTACTCTGATGCATCTTATGGGATTATTGTAAGCAGTATCACAGATGACATGTTCTACTTAATCGAATCCTTTTTTTTTTTACTGATGCCTTATGGCAAGGGTGATGAACCTGTGACCTTCTAAATGCTGAATTACATTTCCCGACTTCCCTCACCTTAGGCTATGTGGACTGGGATTGCTGGGAGTTGTGATCCAATGACATATGGAATGCTGCAATTCACTGTTCCTGCCTCACAGAAATTTGTCAGCTTAAATATAGGTCATAAATATTTAAAACACTCTATTAGAGTTAGATATTCTGATTCCAGCAGAAGGGTTCCTTCTATGAATAGGTGGTTTTTGAACAACAATGGAGGAAACAGCACTAGGGTGGCAGAGATCAGTGACAATGATAGTTCCTTCTTTTCAGAGTGACACTGTTGCACTGGAGAACATTTTCTAAATAAAGACACAGTAGAGAAGCAGCAGCTGATTAGCCTCCAAGGGCTCCACTGGATACCTCACATGAACTTAATCATAAAGTATTGTTTACATATTAAAAATTGAGATGATGCATTGAATTTTACATAAGCATTAAAACAGAAGCCAGTATTTTCTTCTAAACAATTTTCAAATAAATAAATGTTTTTATTCAGATATCACACTCCTTATGTTTCAAATCCAGGTGGGCTTTGAAACATTAGAAGCACTTTAGTTTTTTGTTTTTGGAGTGTGTGTGTGTGTGTGTGTGTGTGTGTTTGCTGGAAGACAGATGTTAATATTAAAATCTTTAAGAGCAATAATTATTTGCATAATCTCTGGTATTTAGCACTTTGGAAGAGATAGGACTAAGCAGGTGAATGATTCCCAGTTTAGACTTAATTTCACCAATAGAAATGGCTGAGACATTGTAAAGACATTAATATCTCTCTGCATAGGCATTTAATAGTATAGGCCTAGGAGATTTAACTTCCCATTCAAGCTTTTAAGATTTCTACATTGGATGGCATACTTCATATAAAAGGCAACTCTTGAGAGACAGGTAAAGAATCATGAAGCCTAGAAACAACTGGATAGTAATAATATTTTCCTGTTATTTAGCAAAATAAATTGTTATTTTGCTAAACATGATTCTTAGCATTCTATACACTTCATGGTAAGTTTTATTATTCATCATATTTATTTATTCATCATATTTATATAGCTGCCCGTCTCATAGAAAAGTGACTCTAGGTGGCACACAATAAAAAACAATAATAAAATCAAAATATTAGAACAAGTACAATTAAAAACATAAACAATATTAATAGCAAGACAGTAGAGAAGATTGATGTTAAAAGCAAGGCAGCCATCTCATTAGATATCCATTTCCATGAGATCCCCAGCCTGCTGACACAGCCATGTTTTGAAGGCTTTCCGGAAGGATATCAAGGATGGGGTCAATTTCACCTTGGGGGATGCCAAGGCAGAAAAGGCCCATCTCCTGGTTCTGCCAGATGAAACTCTTTCACAGACGGGACCCACAGCATACCTCTTCTGCTGGACCTGATGGGACAGGTAGATGTAATCGGGTGAAGGCGGTCCCTCAGGTAACCCGGCCCCATGCCATGAAGGGCTTTAAAGGTCAAAACTTCATTTTAAAAACAAGACAATTGGTTTCAAATCAGTTAATTTACACAGGCATGCATGACACTTCAACTCCATTTGTCCTTGAGCATTGCCCATGCTGTCTAAGCCAATGGGAAATGAAGTCCAACATCTGGAGTAAGAAACGTTCTCTTTTCCTAATTTAGAGTAGCAAAACTTGCTTTCTATTAGCTTCAATGCAGTTATATTTTTCTGAGCAATACCAAAGTCACTGACATCCACCTTCTGTAGAAAAAACAATGTGAGCCTTTAATGAACAAATAGTAAAAAAAAAAAGGCCTCTCAATGGATTGTAAAAAACTTTGCTAATACACATGCCTCCCTATCTCCAAACAAATAACAGAATTATGTGCTAGCAAGTCATTTTCAACTCCTAGCAACCACATAGATTTTCTCTTTTTTATATATAATTTTTATTGAAAATTTTTACAGATAAAAGATAAACATGAAAATATATAAAGTTAAAGAAAAAGATAAAAGAAAAAGCGAAACAAGCAATACAGTTAAAGAAAGAAAAAAGATAATTAAAGCACCTTCCAATCTTTGTAGCAGTTACAAAGTTACTATCCCTCTTCCCTCTTTCAAATTACATTAGAGAGATCCCTTCTGTCCCATATTCAACCCCTTTTTTCAATCAGCAAATCCAAAAATCACATTTTTTTTTCTGTTTTCAGCAAAAAGTCCATAAAAGGTTTCCAGTCTTTTATAAAAGTACTTATTGCTTTATCCCTGACCAAACAGGTCAGTTTTGCCATTTCTGCTCATTCTTTCAACTTTACAATCCATTCCTCCATTGTGGGTATTTCAATATTTATCACTAGGCAAACACAGATTTTTCTCCATGATGATCTGTCCTTAACCTGGTCTTCCAATGGTGCACTCATCGCCACTGTAACTTGAGTCCATCCATCCTGTTGCTGGTCACCCTCTGCTTCTCTCTTCTTCTACCCTTCCCAGTATTAGAGTCTTCTTCAGAGAGTTAGGTCTTCACATAATGTGAACGAAGTAGGGTAATTTGAGCCTGAATCAGAGAATAGATATTACAAAAATGTTTTGTTTACAGCATTCTGAAGAATTCAGAATCGTCCTGATAATGGCAGACTAATATGGCAGAAGGAGCCGTGCTTGCCCATCTTCATTCATTCATTAGTTCTCTCTCTCACACACACATACACAATACCAATCAGAGGAATGACTGCTGTAAATGTTCCCCTGGTTTGGGGATATGGTGAAGAAAGGTGGGCTTAGGAGCCTTCATATACAGAATCCATTTCCAGATGCCTCCTGCCCACCTCACCCCATACAGTCTATTTGACATATGGAATAGCTTGTCCTCAGGCACAGAGAGACATTTCCTTTTCTGTGATCAAAACCCTTTCTAGCCTTGGAGAAAGATAACTCACTATCCTATAGCCTATGAAAAAGTGCTCCATGGGGAGGAAGTGACCTCTGGCCATCTTATAAGCATAAACTACAGCATTGAACATGTTCACTCTCTTTACTGCAAGCATGAGTAGGAATCCCATGATTTTCATACATTAACAATTAAGTGGAAATGCCATCTTACCAATGAACCAGCATATACAGCTTTCTTAGAAAACTCCACCTAATGCTCTCCATTTTCTACATATGCTTGCTCCAAGCTTTTTCTCTGAAGCACGTTGTAAAAATCTGGATACCTGATGTGGAATTCTAGTTAGAAAGTTAAAATGGAAGCATACACAGTGATGAAATGAGTTCTCAGATTCAAATTTAAATTCTAATTTAAGCCAGAATATACAGTGCATTCAGAAAGTATTCAGACCCCCTTCACTTTTTAAAAATTTTGTTATGTTGCAGCCTGATACTACAATTGTTCAAATTCATTTTTTTTCTCATTAAT